TTCCTACTTATTATCTCTACTTCTACTACGTTATACCTATCCGACGAGTACTTATAAGAATATAATTTAATAAGTTCTAGTAATATAATAATAACTCGAATAGTATTAGTATTAGAATAGTATATATTTAAGACTATAAAGACTCTACTAACTAAATCTCCGAACGCTATTTTAGTATTATATATAGTTACTATATAAAGCCGAACTTAACGCGAAGTAGATAGCGAAGAAGATAGTAAAGTAGCTAGCTAGTAGCGATATTTATATAAATATAGAAACTAGCCTTAAAATATAAACAACGCCTTATCTATAGACACTAACCACGACATTAAATAAGCCCTAATTCATAGCGCTAACGACATAAACAAGGCCTTATTCGTAGAATAAGGCCTAGCACGAACTAGCGAGAACAGCGATAAGAATTTCGGCAACAACCGATGCGCCATACCGTCCTCCACGTTCTTCGTAATCTCTGAAACATAGCGAAAGCTATAGTTGTTCTCCAGGATTCACAGGAATCTGCATATTGTATGGTATTCTGAGTCCGAGGCTTCACCACACTTGGCGTCCATGTGCTTTGCCTCATTCTATCGCCACGCTATGCTTTGCAGCACGCCTTAGATTCGAGAGCGAGCCTCTGCCAGAGCTGTAGTGGTATACGAACAGCATCGCGGATCCTGCAACAACTTGGTCCAGGAAATGCATCGGCAGTAACCTACTCTGAAGGATGAGCGCCATCGTTGCAAGTCCAGATGGAGGCGTGGTTCCATTCTGCGTGTCCTAATCACAGAGCCATGTGCACACGCGAGCCTGCTTCAATATATGTGACGATCTTGGCACCTCCGTTGGGACACCCAGCGCACTTTCGTGTGTCGCGGCGTGTTTGGTGCATCAAGACCACAAGGCTCTCGAGTGGCCGTCTATACGATGCAAAGCAGAATATAAGCACCGCATACCTGCCTTCGGTCAAGACAATAGTACAGACAGTATCTCCTTCATTCTCGCACACCTCTTACCTTCCCACTCAGCTCGCTGGACGAGATTGATCATATTTTCGATACTACGCAGAACCACACAGCTCTCTCGTTCAACAATGCACTCAATCGCTGCAGCTCTGGCCCTGGTGGCGACTGTAGTTCCATTGAGCAGTGCGCACTACACTTTCAGCAAGCTGAGTGTCAATGACCAGGATGTCGGCAACGACTGGCAATACATTCGACAGCATACCAAAGGCTATATGCCCACCAAGATCCCTGATATTCTGGACAATGACTTCAGATGCCAGCCTGGATCCTTCGAAAATGCAGCCAAGACTGATGTCTACGAAGTGAAGCCAGGAGATCGCGTCCAGTTCAAGCAGGCTTTTGGTGGCACCGGAATGAAGCACCCAGGTATTTCAGAGCGGTTTCTTGTCTCCTTGGTGGCGTGTCGGATAAAGAGTACTGACTCCTCGTTAGGTGCTACCCAAGTCTATTTCTCAAAGGCACCAAACAATGATGTCAAGTCATATCAAGGCGACGGAGACTGGGTGAAGGCCGACATGAGTCTGCTCTGCAGCTCACCGGAAAATGGAGCCATCTTGGACGAAGCATGGTGTTCTTGGGCTCAGAACGGCCCAAAATTCACCATTCCAGATACTCTCGAGGCGGGGGAGTATCTTGTGCGTGCCGAGCACATTGCACTACATGGCGCGCACGACAATGGTGTCGAGTTCTATTTCGCGTGCGGACAACTCAAGATTACTGGTACGACTGCCACGGGTGTTCTAGGAGAGACGGTCAAGATCCCAGGCGTGTACCAGCCAGACGATCCCGCCATCCATTTCTCGGTCTGGAACAATGCCATCAAAGAGTACACGCCGACTCCAGGACCTGCGGTCATACCAGGCGGCCATATCACAGGCTCAACGACTGGCAGCACCACTGAGACCGTCAGAGTCGGCGGCTCAGGCGGCGCATCTTCGAACGCGACGTCTGCCAAGCCTTCAAATGGTAGCAGCAATGTTGGCGCCAGCTCCGGCTCCAGCCCATCTGGCAATCAAGATCCAAGCACGAGCGGCTACCCGACCTTCTACAGTGGAGGTGAAGAGAGTACTGATGACAGCACCGTAAGCTCAAATCAAACGTCTAGCTCAGCCTCTCCATCACCAGATCAATCAGCATCAGCTACCTCTCTGCCGTCCTCTGGTACATTTTCTGAATCCCAAGGACAAAGTCACAGCCAAGATCAAAATCAACGAGGGTTTTCACAAGGTATTCGCTGGTCACCATCCGGCTACAGCGGCAGCGGTGCTACTCGCGCAAACGCCCGAATCCATGCGGAGCAGCAAGTGTAATGGAACTGTCAGACAACCAGGAACAGTGGCAGCAGCATATTCGAGGAGAAGTTGGTACGACTTCGGTATGATCGCTTCCTCTGAAATCGAGGATAAAAAGAGCGTTGTTATCGGATCCAGAAAATAGCGAAGTCTGAGATGAAGTCCTCGGTGTCTTGGGTCCTATCTGTGATATTATACTTCCACCGCGTGCATTGCTGTCCGATGATATTGTGGATCGATTGCAGTAGAGAGAATAGCTCAAATACCTCGAATTGAAGAGACATGAAAATGCGCAAAGACATAACGCAAAGCCGGAATTCAAAAGCACATTTTCTCCGACCGAAGTGTGGCGTCGATGACGCTGCATGGAGTACGCTCCAACACATCACCACTTCTCAAAGGATCGTCGCGGATGAAAATGGATGCTTTGATTGCATGAATTAAATTAGGATTCCTGAAGCTTAATAACATGCACAGCCTCACTTTGCTGTCTTCTGTCGCCTTCATATTCCGTTGCAATCCGGTGACAATTCTTCTTGCGCAAACGTAGTCAATCGTGATTAACCGTCTGCACTGTGTACTTGGCGCCACTTTCCAAGCTTCGCCGTTAACTGCCACCGTCACGCTTCCGAGACCGCACCCGCAATGGCCGATTCCCAGCAGCCAAGCCGACAGTCAAAAGCGGCGGATTTCATGCGTGGAGCTGGGACCGTGAATGATCCCGAGAACAAGCTTTGGGGACCAGCAAGATGGGTTGTGCAACTGGTTCAATATCTTATTGCAATCATTATGATCAGTGAGTTTTCGATGCCTTCAGTTAGAATCCGGTGCTAGTCTGACAGATTCGCAGCAATCGCCGAAGGCTTCAAGTCAATAGTGAGTGGTGGAAGCTCACGAAGGCGGAGAGAGAAGCCTCGGACTGAATGAGTGCGGCGCGAGGGTCGCAACACAGTCCTGGAGGGAAATCCGGTAAGCGGGCGTTATCGGAGGTGGTTCGCAGAGAGCAGAGACCTGCTCGATACCAGATCGCATGGCATGACATCGAGTCAGGTGGTGCAACGTACGAAGTCGGCGACGCTGTGTGACTGGATCACCCAGCGCAACCCGAACAAGTCCGAAGAGCATTTTCTGGATTCAGAGCGCACGCAAATGATACCACTTTTGCCGAAGTCATTTTTTCGCTGCCAGCGGCAGGCTTGGGATCCTTTGTGAAAGTGCGGACTGCCGCGGGCCCTGAACAGTTCAGCTGAACGGGAAGTGCTTCATTTCAGATGTAACACATCGCTTCCAGAACCATATATCTCTGACCAGTTGATGCTTGAAGCCGCATTTTCGGAACCGAATGCTTGGATCAATTTTTCGCTCTCTGTCGGATCGCCGTTGATCACTGGTCGTGCGGCCGACTTCGTCTTCCCGACTGCACCGTCGCCCCATATCAGAGTAGAGTCATTATTGAGATAGGTACCAATGTGTCGGAATGTAAGGCTGATACGCTGACCGCCGTATGCCTTCTCGGCGTCTGTGAGTTCGCAAGCAGGTCGCCTGTCCCAATTTATTGCGTGCAAGTATTCCGCATTTGTCGGGAGCGACATCATTATCAAACTGTTGTGTGGCATAGGCACACGATAGGTAGTACGCGCTGCCGGGTTGATATTGCCTTTGTCTCGCTTCGTTCTGATGCGCCTAATGGAGATGTAAGCAAATTTCTCTTGGTGAAGGCCACCGTCGTACTTACATCGTCCTTTGTGCGCCGAAAGACGCATTAATGATGCTACTGTTGGCGACGATATCCAGCGTCTTGTCGGAATGCTCAGAGATGAAGTCGTTGCCGTCGCGGTACAGCTGGATCAATGCATGATTGAGAGGATGCCCGGCCACTTTCTCTGCTTCCTGCCGTATCTTTTCAACAGTTGGTGTCCACTTCTCAACCGGGAGAGTCTGATCAGATGGATGTCTGTATACTGGCATGCTTCCATCCTCATCTATCGTAGCTTGACAGCAAACCAGACGTGGAACCTGTCCCGTCTGATGGAACATAGTCTGCCAGTTGATCTCATGATTTAGCTCCTCAAACAGTGTCGTGGCATCCGACATGAAATCATGCACAATACGAGATCCTGCACTCTCTTGTGCCTTATCCTCGCCGAATAGTGGCTGGCCCATCGCAGGATCGGTCATGATTTCGTCCAAATCTTGAGACTCGCTCAGATCGTCTGCGAGGTCTTCTGGGTCCTTCACAGGTGCGATGGGGTGTGTCACGTCAAATGACGCTTTATAGTCCAGTGGGATTATTTCGAGCCAAGGTTGACCGGGAATCCGTCGTGGTGAGTCACAAGCAATTAATCCAATCTTACTGGACGACGCGTGGGTCGCGTGCTTGGTCTGGTTGCCTTTCCTTGCCTTGCGGACTCGCTCTTCTGGCGGGTCGCTGACCTGCCGGTAGTGAAGTTGAGAGCTTTGAGGTGTTGCATACTGAGTGGGAGTGATGCGGGGTCGCGGAGCTGCAGAATGTGAGTATTTGGCCGATCGCGTGGTGCGGCTTTGCTCAGATCTTCGTTCGAATAGCACTCTGGGAAGACCTACGGTGGAAAAAGAGATCTCGTCGCCGCTATCGTCGTCGTCGCTGTCTGCCTCCAGAGTGCCGCCTAGTTGTTGAAGCGTCCCGCTGTCTTCGGCATCTCCACCATCCACGGCGAAGCGCGAAAGGAGGGTACACGCTTTGACCGTGTTCGCATCCATCAGATCACTGAGTTGTCGCTTGGCCATCTGATGCCGGTCGAGGCGACGGTAGCCAAGACAATCCTCGACCAGGGTGATTTCGATGCCGTACCGAGCTGCGTCCATGGCTGTGGCGTAGACGGACAGGTTCGTCATGCAACCGCAAATATACACATCGGTAATGAGCTTGGAGCGAAGGGTCATCAGTAGTGAGGTGCCGGCGAAGGCTGAGTAATGTGTTTTGGTGACCTGGAGATCCGTGCCTTCCATCACTGGTTTGATACAGTCGGCGTATTCGGCTCCGTGACTGCCGCGAATGCAGCATGGTTCTCTCGTGCTCGTTTTGGAAAGGAACAGTTCTTCATCGTCCTCGCCGATGTCCGGTTCGTCGAACGAGGCAGATGACTGGTAACGGTCAGCGGTTGTTGTGGTAACAGCACCTGCGAACATACCTGGTATTGCTTCTCGCCCCGTGACACATGGTCGTCGCCAGGAACGTCCAGCTCTGTGCCCAGGGAGCCTCCTGCGACGACTGTGTCCCCAGGAGTGTCGTCGCCGTTGACTGGTCTCGTCTCCAGGAACTCTGATCTCACCCAGACGACTTCGCCGTGCTGACGGAAAGAAGGGACGAGGCGGGCAATGCGGTCAACGAATTGGGTTTCCTTAACAGGCAGTTTCCCCGTTGGCAGCACAAAGTCGTTCTGGAGGCCCACGACAATGAGGCCTTTTCTCGTCTGGAGGTTTGGCGTCTGCTGGGACAGCAAGGCAAACAGTGATGACATGATCCAGTCTGCAGTTCTGTTGTCAATGTCAGCATCAGGTCACCACCACGAGGCCGTTTCATCGTACGCAGCAGGCGAAACACGCAGAGTTCCTGTCGACCGTCGAAACTCACAGGCAGAGAAATGTTGATGGGGAGTGGAGAGTGGTCGCGCGCAGTCAGCCGGGCGGGCAGCACGAGCGACTACATTTTGCAGGTCATGCAACGTCGGAGTACCAGCAGACTGGATCTCTTATTGCAAGTAGAGAAGCTCGCGTGCAAGGATGGCGAGGTGTAGGTCGAGTCGGCGCATCGGCCCAAGGCGAAACGGCCATGGGTCGGCGGTGCAGTGCAGCGCAGTGCAGCACGGGGCTACTGCTTGCTGGGCGATGATGAGATGCTGCCGCCGCCGCCG